TCTCCAATGTTACAAAATTAAAAAGTGGCTTAGGTTTATTTCTAAGACTCACTCTCAGTAATTACTGATTTTTTAAATACACAATTTTAAACATTTAAGTGTAGTGTGAGCCCCATCCTCTTTATTTTACTGAAAGAACAGATATTCTGAAAATCTACAAGGGAAAAAGAAAGCATTCATTTAGCTAGTCTTAAATTGTGGGTGGTCTTTTTACATACAGCCCAACTGTCATTAGCTGTTGAAGATGCCAGCCTTAAAACGTTACCCTCATTACCCTCGTTACCCACTTGTAATGTTGCATTATTTTTATACCACAGTCAGATGAAAAGTTGAAACAAAAATATCTTAAAATCACAAAAGAAAAAACCCACCCTAAGATACTTACGGATGGCTTGTTCTTTTTCTTGTAGATATCTTTCTAACACAATACGAGCCATCAATGACGGGGCAAAGTCCACCTTACCCCAACAAAAAAAATAAAGAGAATTTCAGGAGGTAAATACATTTCGACACACATCTGTCAGAACTGTAATCACTTTGTAGGTTTAAAATAAAGATCAAAAATAGATGAAACAGTAGTTTTCCCGATTATTAAGCTCACCTATATGAACCAAATGTGTAGCAGCAATCCACAGTACCCAGTGGTAAATCAAATACAGTGGATAAGATACATTACTGGTTATTATATTTGGATATTTTGCATTTGAAACACTCTTTGTAAAGGATGACAGTAAAATCTCCTTTGTCAGGTTACCTGCCAAGAAGACCCTTTGCTGTGAATACTTACTATATGTGGCACCCATCAAGTGATACCATACATCCTTCATAACAGTATCTTCAGAAGATATGTTGGGCTTAGTCAAAATTTCTTTACAGTTTGTATTTTCCTTTTTAACAAAGCTATTCCTCCATTTCAATAGTTTTTATACATATGGAAAATGTGTGGCGCAGTTCCACCTGAGATTACAATTGCTTTATAGATAACATTATATTATTCCTGTAGTGAACCAGAATTTTAACTACAAGACAGTAAACTTTGCTCACACATTGTCACAGAGAATTTTTCTTGACATGTTTTCAAGCTTAATATTATTACAAAAAATTTATCTTGATTTAGTAACTAGACAAAAAAGGTAGCTTCATTTGTGCATACATTTTTTCCAAATATGTATGTACTTGAATGCCCTCAAATTCCCCAAATAGAGAGAAATGCTTTCCACGGAGCTGCTTATTTCCAGTAACCCACATCAGAACTGACACATGAAAAATGGTGAAATTACTGAAGGTAGTCCAGCCTGAATAAGGACTACCTTATTAGTTCAGGTACTTGCATCTCCCTAATTTTCATATTAATCATGTGTCTATCTTTCTTTGAAATAGGGCCATCATGCTTCATGTCAGAATTTAGCATGTAAGTAAAATTCATAGTGCTTCAAATCTCACTTGAAAATATTTGTATGAAGAGAACAGTGACTAATTTTGTTATTCCTATCTAACAAAAATGAGATTTTAGTCCTTTTGCACTACATATACAATAAGAAGTTGGCAAATAAAATAATAATAAAAAAATTTAAAAGTAGTTTCACAATCCCTCAGAAAAAAACCAAAAAAATAATATGGAGCTTTTCCTATTTAACAGAGCTGCTACACACTGTAATGCACCTATGTTATATATTTCTCATCAATTTTTACAGTTTCCACTGATTAAATATATATTGACTCATAAAGTATTACCATTGCATCAATTGTCAGCAGACGCAAGAGTATGTCATTTAAATATTAACTATCATATAAAAATGGCAGCTTGACTGTTTGGAAGCAGTAATTTGGTGCTGGTTATTGCCATTATTTCCCTAATGCATTAGGCAGCAGTCACAAAATGCATTGCCTTTCTTATATACCTGCTACTATGAAATCAGAAGCAGATAAGTTCTTTGTATGTCTGCTGTTTCTTTTAGATTTAGCTTTTATTTATTTCTGAACTGCAGATATCTTTGATCTGAATTGCAAAAATGCATTAGTGTAATATAAACAAAGATATGCTCACTAGAGTCAGAAATTATATGCATCATCTATAAATCAATGGGAAAAATATACAAAAACCAGTAACAGATATATTTGTTTGTGCTTGAAATATTTTTATGATGGTTCCTATATAATATGGGTGCAATATATCATGAATTGGGTTGTTTACCTAAATTGTTAATAAGATTGTACTTATTTATGTAATGTACAATCTACTCTCAGTAGTTTAAGACTTGTCTTTTCCACATATGGGAAGAAGCTACACATTACCACTAATATGATATAAATTCTTTATTCTATGCTAACTGTATGATCAGGATATGTGGACACTTCACAGACCATTAAAACCTTCTAGTAATTGATAGGTAATCGCACATTTGCTGGGTGAAGCAATGTACATGAGGGAGAAACCATTCTTTCTTACTAATGTAACATGTAGAACTTGCTGCTATTGCAACACTTAATGTTTGTAGTGCCATATCATTTTTAATGCAAACACTCATTTTCTGCCTCCTTCTTTCATTTTCTATTAAAATGCAACACAAACCAGCATACATTTCATTCTATCCCTTTGAGAGTTGCATAAGCAGTTACAAGGACTATCAGCTATTGTATTGTCATTATTGTAAATAAATATTTTAGAGTTTAAGGGGTAGATATTTTATCAATTTTATTTGTAGATATTTTATCAATTTTATTTTTCTAGGAGGCTCACTGCCACTCTTTCAAACTTTTTACATCTTCGTTAAAGTACTGCTTTAGATAGCAGTTTTTAATTCAAAGAAGACACTGCATCCCAAGACAGATTAATATTCTAGTTAATAAATAGCATCAATAAATTTGTCAAGGCTTTAATGACAACTGTACTGAACTTTTCACATTCCAGGTTTTCTAGGAAATGGCTATACTGAGGAATTTATTCTGCTTAATTGCTTTATATTAAACAGTTTTCATTAGCCATCCTCTAATCTGTATGAACAAAAATAAACGGAGAATGCAGTCAGGAAGATGAACTCTTTAAAACTTCCTATCATTAAAAAAAAATAAATCTTAGATGGGTTTTGTTATTAAAAAAAAAAAAAAAACAAAGAAATCAAATACAAGTAAAACTGATAAAATTCCATTTAATCAATGTGGGAAAGTTTAGTAAGCTTCTGCATTAAAGACCTATGATCTGTCTGAAATTTCCAACAAAATACAAATTCAGAATTTCTTATGCATTTGCCTTGAAGTTAAGACTAATTACGTTAACTGATTTATTAATAAATGGGGCTTTTTGTCTAATTGTTGTAAGTACTAACAGACTGGGGAACCATTCTAAATGTCTAATGTGCCTTGAAACCATTTTTTTTTTTTTTTTAGGTTAATTACATTTCTCGCTTAAGTCACTATAGATATGCCCCTCAGGTTTTACACTGGAAGATTAAAGAAAAAAGTAAAGATGATTACCTCATTGGCCAGCTCCAGTAATACAGGGGCAGCTGCATTTTTCATCACCCCATTCAGGTACCTAGACAAGACAAAGCCAGGTAATTCTGCAGTGGCAGGAAAATACCAGTTTATACATGTCAGTATCCCTTGTGAACCTCTTTCATTTGGGGGAAAATACTCCAGTACAGAGTATTTAAGTGGATTTTTTTTAAGAAAAAAAAATATTTAAAACAATCACTAACTCTCCAGGGTTGTCTCCTATTCATCTGCAAAATATATCAATCTCAATTAAGTAAAAAATCAAGAATAATTTTTTTAATGGCTTAATGACATACAAATAAATGGTATTTGTACTCTGGAAAAGATGCATCACAGACAAATAAACCTTTATTATTCACAGTAAAGATTTAGGGTTCCATATGACCTTCAAGTATGATGGCTCAGTACCTATCTTATTCAACTACTTTTGATGCACAAAAACATAAGTTCTCAAATTAAATCCAGATTTTATCAACTGGGCAGTAGTTTAAATACTAAAGGCTTACTTTAGTTAAATCAGAATCTAACAATCAAATGACTATTCCAAAGAAAAAAAAATAATTAAATATTTAGGATCCAATAAGGGGTGATAGAAAGTCATTATCTTATTAGTGGCAAAGTCTTAATGTTTCTGGTTAAGGGTATTAGACCGATATGGATTCACAGTGGTGTTTCTGACCATTGCTTCATAACAATATTGCCTTCCTCACTGTCTGTTACTTTACTGTTTGATGTGTGTATTTCAATGACTAAAACCTGTTCTCAGGAGTTGGTGGGAAGTAGCTATATTATTGCAAGCCACTGTGCTTTGCAGCTATGTGTAAAAGAACAATAGTTACCAGTATTTGAATCTGTTCGTTTATTTTATCTGTATTCATATAGCTTATCATTACTGACATCATTAGAAGGCCACAGCCTTTCCAGTTCTGTCATTATCTATCCATCAGAAGCCACTGTTCTACTCATTAGTTACAGACATTAAAATTCTGTATAATTTTATCCTTATGTGGAATGGGTGTAACACCTTTACATAAACCTCTTCACAGAGCATTAGAGGGCTTTTTGTTTGCAAGATATTCTGAAGCTTATTAAGGAATGAAGGAAATTATAAAAGCTTTTTGCTGTAACCTATTTCAATTCTACACACAAAAAAAAATAAAAATCCACAAAGCAAGATACTCTGCGTATATTTAAACTTAAAAAATTTATTACAGAAACAAAAAAAGGAGACATCATAAACAAAATACCTACCCAGGAAGGTTTGCTTGACATTAATGCTCTAAACCATGCATTCAGTTGATCAAATATCAAAGCTACAGGTAACAATGGAGTATTTTTCTGTCAGATAATTCTAATGCTACTGGCAACTCCATAATGGCCTAACAGCTCTCAGACTGATGACAATACTATTCTGAAAAGCTTGCTCATCTTTCCTGTAATTTGCCTTTGTATTTTCCCAAGTTTAAGACTTGTAAGTCTCAGTAGAGCAGCAGCAACTAATCCACTCAGCTGTACTTCCACTTGCTCCCAACGGGGGCCACCTGAAATGGATACATGCAAAAACTGATCGTTTCCAGCCTAGGAAAGCAATGGGAGCACAATAATCTGCTTCTATGTTGATGAGACTATGAAAGAGCAGACACAGACTGGAGCAGTAAAATGGATGCCACAAAAAGGAAGTCGAGAAGACATGTTTGCCATGTTTATGCTTGAAGCATTTCAAACTGGCTTCTGACTCAAGTAGTCTTCCCGATGTAGCTTATGAAACATACTATACAATAAATCTACTAAAACAGGATTGAGATGAGTTTTCTAACTACTAACCAGAACATCTCTGATTTTAAAACATGTGCATTTTATTTGGCCATGTTAATACATTTGCAATGTGAAATACCCAGAAATAGCATAAAGAATGATCTTCCCTACCACCACCATATAGCTTCATACATAATGCATTAGTTATGTACTACTATCATACTTCAGACAGTGCACAGGGGGACAGGAGACCAAATCCTTCTACCTGACGTGAGCCAAACTTAATCATACCAATGTTCTTCCTAAACAGCACAGGAGAAGTGCAATATGATCCAGTACATATTTTTACAGAACAGTACAACCACTAGAAAATCAAAACCCCAGAACAGCACAATTCACACTAGATATTCTAAATCAGCATCTACTAAAATGAAGCTCTGCTTAGTTTTAAATATATGGCTCTGTGGAAGCACAGTTAATTTTCACAAATGAAGGCTTTTTGTTTATGTTCCTGATTCATACAGATTAATATTAAGCATAAATATCAAGACATCTATAATCACAGTTATCAATTCACTTGCCATACAAGCTCCTCAGATATGTCAGTCTACAAGGAAGTATCTTAATTGTGTAGCTTAACCAGTTATCAGTATGCCCCAATTATGTCACCGCAGTATTTTTAGGAAAGCCTACAGAAGAAACAGACAAACTATAAGGTGTAGCAAATACAATTTATTAGCTTAAGATGCATACAATTGTAAAATATTATAAAATGACAAAAAGGTTTTCATCTTCCCTTAACAGCTATTTCTGACACTTCTGTTGATAAAACAGGAGTGATCTAAAACTTAGAGCTTTAACTGGCAATACATGAATATGTAACTTTTTGTAACGTAACACAAATCTTTTAAAAGCACAAGCAACTGTAACAGAACAAGCTCCCTAGCTGTAAGAAAGTTATCCTCAATGTTAGTCTTTACACAGAAGCCCTATAATTACAAACTACAGGCAACATACAATAAATGCTATCATGTACTCTGTAAAATATGACTTAGAGCCAAAGACGTAAACACTTTCTTAATCAGTGACCAAACACAGAAAAATTTGTGCATTTTCACTGAAAGCAATTTTAGGTGAACTGTTTTGCAATCCTCATCCCAAATTCTTTATTTATTTTTATAGAAAATCAGCTTCATAAGCTAATAAGCTAATTTACTCATAATTGCCATAACAAATACTAGTTATGATAATACTCCTGACTGGGGTGGCGAGGTGATACCTTTGGTAGTAAGTTTCAACAGCTTCAGCAGTGTGATGCTTGGCATGTGTTCTTTTGATTTGTTTCTAGAAAAATGAAAAAACAAAGAATCTTACAAATATGTCACAGATCAAAATACAGAAATCATGACTGTCCAGACACATGTTCCTTGGTTACACTTTGACATATAAACTGAACCCTGTTTTTAGATTCTGTACAAAAATGACATTCAATCTACCTATTGAATTGAACGTCTTCAGACTGTACTGCAATGTACCATATATGTAAAAGCCAGTAAGGTCACAATAATTGAATCTAAATAAGTTTATTGAAGGCTGCAGAGGGCAAAGAAAAACTTGTTCTCTTTTTCAACCTTTGTATTAATTTCCCCTCAATTCAATTCCATCTAAGTCTGGTGCACTCTAGTTTTACAATTCAATTGGCATTTTTAACCAGGAAGAACATTGCTTAAAAACAACTTATTTGAAAAACAACAAAAAGTAATTCCATAGAGACTTGCCACTTGACTGACACCTGTCATCTCATGATAAATGACTCCATTTTCTGCCTCTCTTGCCTTCTGCCACTCCGGCAATGGTCATTTATCATCATCTCTGTCAGCAATGGAAAGCAGCACTGACAGTGCAAGTCAGCAAACATTTAGCACATGGAACCACGCAACACAGGGAAATTATTATTGTCAGAATAATAATGGTTTAGCATAATTTATTACAGGTCCACCAAATAAGCAAAGGCTAGATGTTATTAGACAGATGGATGGGTAGGCTTGGCAGCCATCCACTGAGACTCAGGCGGTGCTTGATGTGGAAAAAGGAACATCCTCCAAACCAATCAGAAAGCTGGCAGTTCAATTACAAAGAAATAAAGGGACATTCATCATTCAATTAGGCACCTGTCAACCCTCACAAAGGAGAAAACTTCTAACCTGGTACTCCTGGGAGAAGATGCTCAGCAGAGTGGACTGCGATTGACTGGAACAAATAAAAGAAGGACAAAGTTAATTACTGGAGTGCACTGCAAAGAAACAAAAGAGAAGGGAGCTTCAAAGGTAGGCCTGCTGCCCTGTAATCTAACAGAACATGAAAACAAGTGTGGAAAAGTTGTTCCAGATGAACACCTCAGACAAAGGCTTCCTGCTGCTAGGTCAAGGAGAGAGTGTATGAGGGAGGGGAGGAAAATACAGCAAGAGTTTCAAAGCAAACAAGCATATTGTTTGGGTGATTCCTTTTTCAGCTTCAGAACCCACAAAGTTCTAACAGGAGCAGGTAGAAAAGCTAAAAGGTAACAGGCAGAAAGGAAAACAAATCAAAATTTCCATTAATAATTGATGGAGATAAATTCCATCAGCAGTTGGGAACATGCTGCTTGTTCATTGGCAACATATTGAAATTCATTTTGTTAGCAGCAAGGGAAGCTCTTCAGTAGCTGTCTCATATTCAGGTTAAAAACTTCCGCCTCTGTCAGAAGTAGCATATGGGACCACTGGAACATTCCCACTGAAACTGATGTGCTTTGAAAATAGAAACTTTCACAGCAGGAAGCCAACATTCCCTGGAGTCGGTCATTTCCAAAAGCTGCCATAAGCTTCATTCATCTAAGGCTCCACTCAATGTCAAACACCTGGCAATGAAGCAACCTGGAAAGCATTCTTCCCAAGTGGGAATTTTTCTCTCAGAATTGTTAACATTTAGAAATGGGACAAGATTTTTTTTTTTTTTTTCGCTGAAAGGCAATCAATACCACACCACTACTGTTTTCAATTGTCCTCTGTGGATATATATACCTCATCACATCCTGAATACAATTAATTACTCCTGATATATTTTCCTACTACATGCAACTTGAACAAATTATAGTCTCTATAAATCGAGTTTTATGGTACAGCAAAGCATTATGAATAATTAACATTTTTCCTTTCATGAACTTACCTACTAAGGCTAGTACATCTTTGAACATAGGCAGTACAAAGATTCAGTAATGCCTAAAGTCTTACTCTTCTGTCAGATTTCTTGCATGTGAATTTAACACCCATATCACATCATATTCATATTAAATGTAAATGTTCTCTCAATACTCAAATGGTCCTCCTCCTTGCAATTTCTATGCTTCAGAAATAACCAGTCTACGATAAGGAAGCATTACTCCCATTTGCAAGAGGTAAAACTGAGGCACAGAATGACTAAATGGTTTGTTCAGGTTTAAACAGACAGTATGTCTGCTGCAGAATATGAAGTGTTACTTCTAAACCAACCAGTTGAAGCATTAGGAAAAAAGTGACTAGATTAATGTACTGCTGTATGAAGAGTTTATTATTGCCCATATTTGTGCTTCCAGAATCTTTGCCATAATATTGTATTTTGGGCTTTTCTGTCCAGCACAACATCTGTGTAACAGTAAGCTGAGCCTTGATCTCTGGTACTTTACACATGAGAATGTTCAATCTGAGTATGTGTTGACCAAATATTAAAACTGTAAGAAAAGTATAGTAAAATAAACTAGTATACAGACTCATGAAATTAATGGATTACAGAAAAAAAAAGAATTACAATGTCATCAAGAATTTAAATATTCTTAAATATACATCATTGGACACAAAGGCCAAGAGTTATGTAACGCAATGCCTCCCCAAAAGGTGCACCATCCAATCACGGCAACTTTAAACATGCGTATGCAATCATAAGAAGGTGAACAAAGGAAAGAAATTAAGATTATATACTTACACAGGCTATATGCATATGCAAAGCTAAGGTATTTCAAATTGATTTATTTAAAACAACCCTGCAGGCTATAAATAAGTTGGGTACATATGGCCCCCTAATGGCTCTCCACGTAACTATTATGATCTGGCAGATTTACATGGTCATAATGGTAGAATTGAATTTAGAGAAAAGATGTGGAAAACCCCAAAACAAAACAGGATAGCATTTAAATGGATTTCTGGTTCAAGTTCTCTTCCACTGGCATACCAATTTTTGCATTTTTAGGCTATTCCCAGCATGATTACTATAGCTATTGTACCATTATCCTATTATACCCACTGACATATCAAAAAGAATTAAGACCTTTATCCCTCTCTTCTCACTCCTGACTCTTGTCCATTCTATTTGTTCCCTTGGTGTCCTTGGATTTTGCCCTTCTACTTCAGCTTTGTCTGACACTCCTATGTTTCCAACTGTTCAGTCATTTAGGACCTACCATGAACACTAAAAAATAAAACAAATAAATCAGCCCAACTGAACAAGTTGGATATATACTGGATTGCAGTACAAAGCCACTGCAACTGTGACAAACAGAATTATTTCTCTAATATCAGTCAAAGAATTTCAAGCCTTATTACCAGAATATCTTTCCCCTTCCCTAGGAAAAGAGGATTTAATCACCACATGGCTGCTCCCGTGTTCTTTTCTGGTTAACACAGTTCCTCTCTTAAACACCAAAACCACTTATCTGTCACCCAGCATTTCTTTGCCACAGTTCCATTGCCACAACTTCCTGGCAAAATAAAATAGCTCCTCAAAAAACAACTGGAACAGCTATTACAAGATGTCACTGACAGAAACCTGAAACATCATGTTTTCAGAGAGTGCTGAAAAAGACAGTGTACTTGAAGCAGGGACAGAAGTCATGAACATGCATTTGCATTATAAAACAGCATGATCACAACTGCTGATACTGACAGCAGGGATACTGCTGTGTAAGTTATCATTACTTCTACAGGAGCAGCCAAATTCCTAGGGCTTCATTCATCCTCTTACGCTATACAGGATTTCAAGGCAGCAAATGAGCAGACAAATTAATATTGTTGTAATATCCAGGAAAAGAAACATAACACTGAAAATATCTTTTAATCGAAGTAACATTTCAGTGTTGCATTGTTTCTCATGGAATAAACTTTGTAGTAAGCCTCATACCTTACTGAAAGGCTATGGATATAGGCATGTTTGTGTCAAACAACCTCTTTTGCCAGGAACCAACTGTAGAGCCAAGGTAGAGATTTGCTGATTTTCTGAAACAAACAATGCCATCCCAACTCATAATTTCAAGTACTACCTAGTTTAAATAATTAATAAACTTGTTATCCATCTTGTGGAACTAAATCTGTTTTCTAGGAAAACAAGCAAACTTCCTCAAGTTCTGTAGAAGGCCACTTTCATGGAAACATTTTCTGCAATTCCAGATGGTAGCGGACATTACCCCCAGAACTCTGTTCAAAGCAACCAGCCTCTCTCTTCAGATATCCTCTTTTTCTTGTACACCAACATCCATAATGGAACTATTTACCTTTTGTTACTCTGTGTTGATGTTGGTGACACTTTGTGTCCTTGTCAGTACATAACTGTTTTTAGGCAGAAAACTGAAATCTAAGATCTGCTACAAAACACCATTTTTATTTTTTTTTTTTTTAAAGAAAATAGCTTCTAATTTTAAAAAATGAAATGTCATTTTCTGGTTCCAAATGATATAAAGATATAAAAATTTGCCTAACGTAAGTATTACTCATATCAAAGATATCGATAATAGACAAATCCTGCATTTAAAATGGGGTGTCCAAGTCAGACCAGAACAAGAGATAAGAGAAATTACCTCTAAGAACAGTCACGAGATCAATCAAGCTAAAAAGAGAACTGCATGTCTGGTGCTGGAAAAAGAATGTATCTTTTGGTAATCTAACATATAAGAATAAAATTTAGACCATTCTTTCCCAATGAATCTCAGAATTTGGTAGAGGATGCTATTATCCCTGGTAAGTATGTCAGAAACGTTTTGTTTGCAATGAGTACTCATATATAAACTAATAACAGATAATATGCTGATGCAGACCAGTGCTTCATAACTAGAGCTGATACAAAACTCTGGCCAAGAAGTAGCTAGTAAGGACCAAAATAATTTACATGGACAGGATCACCTTCTCAGCAAAGCAGGCTTGAAGATCTAGCCAAGATTTGGTGTGCTGTCCAACTTAATACTTCCTATTTACTACTGCTTCAGCAGGAGAAAATCAAAACATGACAACTTCTGCAAATACTGTATTTTCAGCCCTAGTTGATAAATAATTCTTATTAATTCTTTAGGGATGAGATAAAACTTATGCTTTTCTACTTATTTTCTGAGATTATTAAAAACATAAAATTTTAGGTAGAAGACCAAGCTTCCACTTGTTGCATCTATTAATTTTAAAAGGAGCTGTGTTTCCCTCATCTTTAACTCCACACTTCTTGCCTAAAATAGAAAGACTAAAAATTCAGCTTTACATTTCATGTCTTTTACCATGGAACAAAGGAAGAGTATCTAGAAAGATCTGTTAAAAAACCCAACCAACCAAAACCAACCAAAAACCAAACCAAACCAAAAAAACTAACAGTAAATATGAATTGTGCTATTTAACCCAGTAACTATCTACACAAGTGGAGACAAGCAGGGGGAAATCAAAGTCCATCATAAGGCAGATATATATAATACATACATATATCAAATAGCCTTGATTTTTTCCTTTCAGCAAATGAAATCTACAAAGAACATTGCTTCATTGCTTCCCTTCCACAAAATGGAACATTCCACCTCATTAAGAGTATAAATATATTGGTTAAAAAATGGGGCAGGGGGCAGGAGCTGTGTTTCCAAAATTCAAAAAGGTGTTAAGTGTGAAATCCCAAAGCAGCAGTGCTAGCCAGATCCTTTCATGAAATTTTCTGAAGCAGGTAAGAGCCTCTCATTTCTAATAATTGGAAAAGAACTTCCCCTTTCCATGTACAATAACTTTTAAAATATTTTAACTAATGTAATACTGAGCTTTAGAACAAAAGTAATACATATAACTTAGGGCTAGACTTACATGGTCCTTCCACGCTGGATTAAGAATCTGTGCGAGAAAAGAAATACATGTATTTGACGAATTTAAATGTCTGGGGGTGGAAAGGGAATCCTCCTCACAGCTATCCTGAGACTCCAGAATGTGTGCCTAAATACGTGT